TTATGGAGACTCCATCACCAAGATGCTCCAAGCTCTCAGAGCGCAATGATATACTTTGATATCGGCTCCTTCCTTCATCTTCAGTACCAAGACTGTAGCATCCTTCCTCTCTCATTATTTGCTTCCAGTTTTATATCCTCTCTCCCAGACTCTTATGTTCAAACCCTCCTCTAATAACAATAATTCAGGCTAATATTTCCCTTTGGCAAAGTCAATTTTAGCTTATCAATTAACATACATGGGTTATACAATGAAAAGTTGGGTAGTTTTGAAGAACATTGACTAATAGGCTGTGGGAATATAAATTAGAAAAACTATTCTAGAAATGCAAAATATAGCATTATGCCAGAAATATTATTAGAAATAAATTATTCACAGCATTTTGGTATAAAATCTTTTAAAATGGAAGATACTGGTACTTTATGCTCCTCCTTGTCCCTCACCTTTAGGTGAAAAAATTATACACAAAGTAAAAGTAGCAATGAAACTTCAAAGCTCAAGTTTTCAAGGACTTAGACTAAGGCCAATCATTCACCCCATCTCCATCCCTACTGCAGATCACTGGTAAAGATTAACTGAATGCTGGAGTTTAACATCAAAGCCTGGCTGGGGCTTCTGCCTTTTTCTGACTGTGAATCAAAACTGTCCAATAACATAAATGTCAGAAAGCAGTCACCTGCATGTTACCTCTGTGTTGTTGTAACAATACTTAAACAATTTAAGACTGAAGACTTATTTTGGTTCACAATTTCAAGACGTTTTGATACATCTTTCCAGAAAATTAATGGGAGAGCATCTGAGCTCATGGTAACAAAGGTTGTAGTGAAGCCTGCACACCATTATGTACCAGGAAACAGAAGACAGAATCCATATAATTTTATAATTCTGAGTATATCTTCTGGTGAGGGTCCCTATAATGAACCATACTTCCTAATTCCCCCAAACTTCCAAATTAGTTGTGCCAAACTAGGAACCAGATATCAAAAACATGAGCCTTTAGGGGATGTTTCATGTTCAGATCGTAATGCTAATTGCACTGCTATAATTTCTGTAGGCCTCTGGCTAATCCACATCACTACATCTGTCAAAGAATCTTAAACTCAGTAGATTCCAGGTTCATCCTCAGACCAAGTGTACAGTGGGAAATGCTTATCCAACTTCTTTTTTAATTTCATCTTCCTGGCATAATTCAATAGAAGCAACATTTTATCCCTAGAGTAGGAGTTTAGTTGTTGACTACATGGAGTCCAGGTGTGAGACCATCAACATCAAGAGCAATATTAACAAATGGATGCTTCAGAGAATGTTGTAAAGATGATATTATTCTCTAAAGAAGGACTGATAGGTCCCAAGAGCATTTGACAACAAAAGATTAATGGAGGAGTAGGACAGTCAGTGAACATGTAGATTTTACAGAATTTCTGTAGTGAACCAAACATTTGTTGAATATTCGCTATATTTGTTGAATATGTCTATTTCATATAATTTATCATGATTAAAATGTGTGTTGTATTATTCAGAGATTTCTAGAGGGGCAGAAGTGAAAGTCATTGTAATGAATCCCACATATATATGGATTACAGTCTGTATTCTAGCTAGTCCAACAATGACTATCTAGCAATAGAAAGTCCAAGAATCTAGTAGTTGTTCAGTCCATGAAGCTATATATCTCAGCTGCTTTTCAGTGTGTGCCAGAATCCTGAAGAAGCAGACTTTAAGGCCAGGGAAGGAATTTCCAGTGAGACAATCTCATCATGTTTATTCCTCTGCATTATAGAAAAGTTTTTCACATGGGAGATAAGAATATCTTCATGTCATGAAACATTCATTTTTAATTTTGGTAGTAGTTTATGAGTAAAGGGCTAGCAGGTGATGACCAAAAACTTCTTTTTTTCATATCATATATATATAAGCTGTGACCAGAAGATATTTCCCAGATTTAGATGTACATTTGCCCCTCAAAAGTTCTGGCTAAAGGGGGGGACATCTTCCTACTTTTAATGATTTAATTAAGAAAATCCTTCATAGGTGTACCCCAAAATTATCACAAGTGTTCTATGCATGTTACAAGAACTAAAACAGGGAAATGTAGATTGAGCACTGTTGGCCATGCTGTGACTTAGTGATATAAATGATACATGCAAGAAAATCCTCTTTTGTATCCAATAATTTCCATTTTTACTAAAAGCTTTTACAAAACTATAGTCATAAGATAACAGTTGTTTTGATTTCTAAGCTTCAGGAGCTTTTTAAATGAGAACTCCACTCTCCAATTAGAGGAAAGGGAGTATCATTTAGAAAGATTCCTTCTAAATTCACTTTCCACTTTCTAAATTCTGTGAATGAGATAATCACAAATTTGCTAACTTTAAAAAAAAAAAGACAAACTCTCTTCTCTAGTACTGAGACAAGACTACTACAAGTTTCAATAAAGAAAACTTCATCCACAGCACCCTGGACATCTTCTTTGCTGGATCAGAGACAACAACTGACACACTGTGCTGGGCTGTGCTCTACATAACTTCAAACCCAGAAGTGCAAGGTGAGCATGTGCTGGATGTGCCTAGACCAGGGAGAACAGTGTTTCTGAAATTTGTTGTTTAGATAGGGCCAGAAGGTGGAATAGTGGAGTGGTGGAAAGAAACGGAACACCTGGGAGATCAGCTCTTTTGGAGAACAGGCATGGCCTTCACATGTCCTGTCAGGATTGTAATGAGTCATGGGTGCAGACTTTATACTCTATGCTTTAAAGAATCCTCAGTTTTAGAGTCAAATAGAGAAGTCAGTTGTCCTTGTGATAGTTTCCAGCAAAGAGTGACAGTGTGCAATGAACAATCCACTAAGTCCTTCATTTCCAGCAGTCCCTTCTCATTTTGTCCTGGATATCACCAAGATGCTTCAGTCTGATACCTGGTATCCTATTGATGTTACCTCTGCTGTCCAGACTCAACCACACACATTCTGCATGTTGCCTTTCAACATTACATCTTCCCCAATGGCATTGCTCTAATCTTGCTACTATGTACAATATTGGGCTTTCCATCTACCAAAAAAAAATGTCCTATACCAAATTCTGGAGCTTTCAGAAGTATTTTCTCAGATATTATTCAATAAAATGTTTTAATATCAGCTAAGAATTTACTGCCTAGAAAAATTGCTTCCATGTTCTCCCTTGAGAGATTGCAAAATATGCCCCATTATGGGCTTTGCACACTGTTTATATCTCCACTGGAATTTTAAGTCCTTCAGAAAGAATGTCCAATCCTATTATTTTTTTTCCTCTGGATTATAGAAAAAATTTTTCACATGGGAGATAAGAATATTTTCATGTCATGAAACTTTTTGTTAATTTTGGTAATAGTTTATGAGTGAAGGATAAAGATACTATGGCACATTCAATCCAAATATTTTGCCCTAAGACGAAAATAAGAGTAGTGGTAACAATGTCTCCCATGTAGTAAAAATAAAATGGTCATTTCTTCTCCTCCATCCACTTTTTGAGACAGGTTCGTTAGCTGTCTCAAACTCACCAAGTAGACAAGACTCTCTTGCAAGTGAGCCATGGAAATTGGCCTCTCTCCCTTTCTCCAGTACAGTGAGATTAGAAGTAGATGCCACCATGCCTGAAATTTTTAAAAAGAGATTCTAGGGAGCAAAGTCAGATCTTCATGTTTGCATAGCTATCACTTTACTTACTGAGCTTTCTTTCATGCCCAGCCTTTTTTCCTTTATTGATACAAAATGTGTGTATTATTACAGCTATATATTTTTATATGTTTGTTACATACAATTATGTTGCTGAGATATAATAATATAACCAAAACCAATTTATATATTGGAGAGTTTATTTTAAGTGACAGAGTATATAATTATGGAGGATGTATGGCAGTGAGTAATGTGACCAAGAAGCTTAAATATCACATCTCAACTGCAAACATAAAACAAAGAGAAAACTAGAAGTAGGACAAGGATAGAACCCGCAAAACCATCCCCAGTAGCATACTTTCTCCATCAAGGCTCTACTTCCTAAAGGATCCTTCGATTCCCAAACCACCTCCTAGAACTAAGTATTTGAATACTAGTGCCTATACTTTATATTTCTCAATTAATCCTCTTCATTTGGACCATTGTTCTCTATAGATTCATGGTACGTCATGATGAAAAATGCATTTAGTCAAACTTAAAAGTCCCTGTAGCCTTTAATTGTCCCTATATGTTCAAAGAAAAGAAGTTCAAAGTCTTTTCAGATACTGAAGGCAAACTCTTAACTGTGACCCAATGTAAAACCCAAATTCAGATTTATAGACTTCAAGCATACACTGGCAGGGAATACACATTCTCATTCCATAATGAAAGAACGAAGGTATAGTGAGGAAATGCTTAAAGAAAAATAAAATTCAAGTGATCAAATACCAAATGCACGAAATTTAGTTTCATGGGACTAAGATGTCTCCACTCATGTGCCTTTGTTGCCTGCAACATAAACTCTCTCTAGGGCTACTTGCACTACCTATGTGAAGTGTCCTTTGTAGTGTCTTATGGGCATCACATCTCCAACATCTTGGGAATTCTACTGAACATGGGCTTCACTTTCAGAATCCTATGCAATGAACTCTTATAGCCTTCAAATGGGGACTCCACTGTTAGATGTCAGCTTCCCTCAGCAGCTGTTTGAACATCTAAAGGAAGAATCATCAAGCCTGTCACTCTTGCATCTCCTGAACTGCTAAAGCATGATGATGACACTGACATGTTCAGCTGTCACACTGTGATAGCATCTTGCCCTTTGCATCACATTTGCAGTAGCTTTTGTATTCCAGGAGGTTTCCCTCCTTGTATCTTCTCCTTTTATAAATTGGAAGCCTAGCTGAGTAGTGTCTTACCTTCTGTAAGCTCTTCTCATGGTTCGGTGAAGAACAATAGGCATCTTCTTAATTGACATGATTTCTTTAAAACTTATGTACAGCCCCCTATTTAGCATAGGCTTTGGGGCAACATTAAGCTTTTTAGGGCTTTTTTCCTCAAAGATGTATTTTTTTAAACTTCATTCTGCCCACCTGACTCTTTCCAATTGTAGAGCTAAGAGTAACCAGTAATAGCCATGCCAGAGACTCAATGTTATAGTTTCTTAAAATTTTTTCTTTGACAAAAAAATTACTTTTAAAATTAGCCATCAGTAAGCTGTTAAGGCAACGGCACAAGGACAGTGGATTCTTGATGAAACAAGTCGAATGGACTTGCGGCTCAGTTGCTCCTCAGGCCCTCTGTCCTCTGAAGCATCATGATCTAGGACTGTATTAGTGCATTTTACACTCCTACTAGAATGGCCCATTAAGCTCTGCTTACAACTTGGAGCCACTTTTCTAAACTAATGTTGCCAAGTCCTTCACACTTCTCAAAAATAAATAAAATAAGGTCTAACATGCTCAGGTTTCCCACAGCAGCAACCCCATCTCTTTGTATCATTTTCTGTATTAGTTACTCATCTATGACTGGATAAAACTCCATGACCAAAAGCAGTTGAAATAAGGAAAAGAATCTTTTGGTTTATGGTTCCAAGAATAAATTCCATAAAGGTGGAGAAAGCTTGGCAGCTGATAACCAAAGCATGAAACTAAAAATAACATCTCAACTACACACAGGAAACAGAAAGTTATTCAAAATTGACACCAGTGACAAAATTCTTCTAGCAAAACTACTCTTGTTAAAGATTCTACAATCTCTACAAACAATGCCAAGAACTGGAAGTGTTCAAATACCCGAGCCTATGAGAAACATTTTTATTCAAACTTTTACAATATGCATCTGGGGTTACAATTTAAAATGCATGTCTGTCTGAAGATTTACATTTTACAACCATGAAAGCTACTGTGGATCAGATTTGATTTCTATAGCAAAGGCTCCAGAATATCAACAGTGTTACATGACATTTATTGCACCCATGCTTATTTTGCAACATGCTCTGTAATCAAGAGATAGGACCAACCAGAGCATTCATTGATGGACTGTGAATGGATAAACAATGACATCCATAACCTAGAAACACAACTCAATCATGAGGAAAAGAAGTTTTGATAAGTCCTCTAGCATAAATGAGCTTTTAGGACACAGTGCTAAGTTAAGAAACCAACTGCAAAATTGTACAAATTGTCCTAAACCACTCAAAAGAGTCATCTAAAATAGTTAACTTCCTAGAGAGGAAATATGGAATGAGGGTAGGGGAATATTGAACATAATTAATGGACATTAAATTTCAATTCCAAATAACAATTCCTTAGCATTTACATATACAGTAATATGAGCATACTTAATAATTATTGATTTGTAGCCTTAAATTTTATTGTGATCTGTGGTTGGCAAAATTTATTTGCAATACTTGAGAGACTAAGGCAGGAGTAGTACAAGTTTGGGGTCATTTGACTACAAAGGAAGGCTTTACCTTAAAAAATAAAGCATGTCTATTATGGTAATATTTTGTTATATGCTTATCCCCAATTAAGTATTTATGGACTGTAGTACACTAATAGATGTTTATGTCTCTCAAAGAAGAAAACTCTAAACTATATCCTGTAAAGATCTTATTGTTCCAAATTCCTTTCAACTTGTTACTGAGTTAAACATGAAGTGAATTTCCTAACTTTCTAAAGTGGATCCTATGAGAACTGCCTTTGTATCCACTGGCAAGGTATAGAGGAAGGAAGCAGGGAGCCATCTTTTCAGAACTTTGGACAAAATAAAACATAATGTCTATTTCCATTTTACTGGTAAGAACTGAGTCACTGCTCACATTGACTCCAAAGAAAATTTAGAAATGAAATTTTTTAGCTGGAGAACAATAGAATCTCTGTTAAGATAGAAAATGTTGAAAATGTAAAGGAGAAGTCTAGAAGTTTCAACTCCTCATTATGCTTATATTAGTTCACATAATTATCAAAACATTCTTAAAATAAGGCTCACAACTAGCCATTGAACTGATCATGGGGTTCTCAATGGAGGAGTTAGAGTGAGGACTGAAGGAGCTGAAAGGGTTTGTGGCCCCATGAGGAGAGCAACAATACCAACCAACCACAGCTCCCAGGGTCCTAACCACCAGCCTGGGAGCACTTATGGAGGGATCCAGGGCTTCAGCTGAATATGTAAGAGTGGATGGCCCTGCCGGGCACAGATGGAAGATGAGATCCTTGACCTCATGAAGGCTGGACGCCCCAGGGGGTGGGAATTTTGAGGGTGGGGAAGTGGGAGTGGGGGGGTAGGTGGGGGTTACATCCACGGAGAAGAAGGAGGAGGGGTAAGGGGATGGGGGGTTCCCGGGTGGGTGGGGGATGGGGTAAGGGGATAACATATGAAATGTAAATAAAATATCCAATAAAAAAAAAGAAAAAAAAAGAAGTCCTATTTATTCTTAGAAGTCAAATGAGGAAACTGAGTCTGGAAGTATATAAGTAGCCTCAGCAGCAGCAATGGCAACAATGTTCACAAAGACTTTGGAATGTGCCTTCCACTCTGATATATCTCCTTAGGAAATCACAATCTACAGTTGTTCGGTAATTGAAATAATTTTGTGAAGTTCAATTAGCAATGGAGTGATGTTAGGAAGTGATTAGCCTTGTGAACTGCATTAGTGACTTTTAGAAAGATAACAGACAGGCCGATGAGATGGTTCATCTCATAAAGGTACTGGGCTTCAAGCCCACAATCCTTAGTTCAATCCCCAGAATACAAAAAGTACAAGAAGAGACCTGACTCTTGCAATTTTCCTCTGAACTTCACCTATCAATTTAGAACATGTGCAAGTACACACAAATAGAAAAATAAAATATTTTAATATACGTATTAAAAATACCAGAAACCAAAGTGATTGCCTTCTCATTCAGGTACTAGGACACAGCAAAACTTTGTCATCTAGAGACAGATTAATCATTATCACATTAAAAAAAAAACCTCTCTTGATGCCTTGATTGTAGATATCTGGGAATATCAAATTCTGAAAACTTAGCTTTTTTTTTTTTTTATATAAACAAGTACGTGATGTGAACTTATTTGCAGATGCCTGATTGGTTACTACTATGAGCTTAGCCAGGCTGATCACACCTATTTAGCTCTGAGTAGGTTGAAAGCTGAGGCTGTGTTGTAAGCCCAAAGAAAATTAGAACTGACAGTTTTTCAAAGCAATTCTTTGAGAAGGTAAGAAACATGGTGTTTCTTTGTAGACAGAACACTGGAAGAAATACAAGAAAATAACATCTTGGAGACATTTTCTCAGTCTTCAGAAGAAAACACTAAACTGTAAAGCTAACAGAGGCCCCTGTTTCCTTGCAGAAACAGTACACTCTGAGATTGACAGAGTGATTGGCCATGGGAGACAGCCAAGCACTGATGACCAAGAGTCCGTGCCCTACACCAATGCTGTCATCCATGAGGTGCCGAGGATGGGCAACATCATCCCCTTGAATGTTCCCAGGGAAGTCACAGCTGATAGCACTTTGTCTGGATACCACCGGCCTAAGGCACTCTCCCCTTCTCATCTCCAGTCCATCCTTGGCATTATGTGAGGAACACAAACATGTAGTTCTGCTCCCAAGAAATCAACCAAAATGGAAGAGAGATATTATTAATAAAAGAATGTGAACACTCTTACAATTTATCTAAGTGATAATTACATATTTCATAGGAAGTACAGAAAAGAAGACTCCATGGTCAAATTTTCCCAAGTTGACTTTTTTTTTTTTCTAAAGAAAATCCTAGTGTCTTCTTGTACTAATGTGGGCTCACAGGAATCAGTATATCTTTGCCATATTCATGTCAAAATGGTTTTCCAGATTTTACTTACTTTCCCATATTAGAGTTTCCTATCTCACAAAGAAAACCAGTTCAAAGTAAAATATTAATTATAAAGAAGGGGGAGGAAAAAGCAGATAGTTGCCAAGCAAATATGTTCTTAGGATTATTTTTATTTCAAAATGTATCAATGCACTTTTCATAAGTATTGATCCCCAGTGTAACCATTTAAATGTTATGACTAGATGAAAGAAGCTTACATAAAGTCTCTCTACTTTAATATAAAATATCATGAGATTTGGGATCAGATCTAAACCTGTCCTGATTGTTCTTACTGCACTGATCTTATTACATTAAAATTGAAATATCTTCCTTATATTTTTCTTCATGGATCCCTCTCACATCCCTTTGTTCCCAGACCCAAGCTTAGGATCTACTTGTGATTTCTCCTGACCATATCACACTCTTTCTGTTCAAGGCACAATTATTATCCTTTCCATTCTTTCTATACACCGTGTACTGATCAAAATCAGGCATTTCTTAGTAGTGGCAAAATAAAGCCTGAGGTTTCAGCATAGCATGGCAGTGAAAGGGAGGCACAGAAGAGCAGTCTTCATGATAGAGGCCAGTAGCAGAAGTAAAGCTTTCAGGAGGCTATCTCCCCACCCTATTTCCTACACCCAGGTCTTCATCTTGGGGGATGGTTCCATATGTTAGGAAAACTCTACAACCATTATGTAATAATCTCTGGAAATGGCCTCAGGGCTACTCTCACTGGTGGTCTGCTGTATTCTCCTAGATAAATATTTATTGCTCCAAACATGCTGTTCTCAGAAAAGTCTTCAGAGTTGTGATGAGAAGAATCTACCCTGGAAACACAGATACATGTCTTTTTCCTCGGAGAAACAGACAACCTAAACTTATATCTTTTGCCATGGATTGTCAATGTCAACTCTAACATCAGCTGTAAACACTGAAAATCTAATTAGATAATATACAAGTGAAGCAAAGAGCCATGTTTTTTACCTTACCTGCAGCTAGGTGCAGAAGTGGATGCATCTCTGCCCACTGTGTGACAAGAAAATAGTTAATCTTTCACAGCATTGATTGGTACATCTCTACAATGCAGTGCAACCCATGACACATAATAATGTTTAGCACTCACAAGAAGGAGGAACATACATACAGAGCTTCCTACTCTATATAGCAGTTATATTTTTATTGTTGACACACCTTAGATCTTTCTATCTGTAAAATATCCTCATAACAGTGATCTTGTAAGTGGAGGATTATATATCATAAGAATGTCCAGAAAAGAGCACCCTGATTCTGTCAAGACATGGATAGGCTGGAGAGAGGAAAGAACCTGGGAGGGAACAATAGGTTCTAAAGGAAAAGATGCTAGTTCTGATACTATATTAGACTTTAGTCAGACAATGTGTTGGGGGAATTATGTCAAGAAGACAATGGTTATAGAAGATTAGAATGATTGAGAAACTGAGTTATTGATAAAAATAAGTATCAGCCTATTTCATCTTAGTTAGGGGGGAAAACTGTCTTGAAGAATCAAATAATGCCTCCTCATTTTAAGACTGATTGATGCATTCTACAGCATGGGTAATGAAAATGATGGAAGGATGGAGTGTGGAGTGGATAAGTTGTGCTCATGACATGTTTATTGCCTGCTCTGCTGCAAATGTGTGTCAGAGAGCATGGGGGCAGCTTGCACTAAGGGGGAAGTGAGAAACATTGACATGACAGAATTGAGAAAATTGAGAGAATGCTTCTGGTATAGAATGAAATGGGGTGGATGACACAGTGTGAGATAAAAGCACACTCTAGGGAGTCCAGGCACCATGCCAGGGACCCTAGTGGGCTGGGCTAGTTTACTCTGCATGCTTGATGTGTTCCTAAACCTGCAGAAGGATGGGGTTCAGGAGCTCCATACTGAGGTCTAAGAATAGAGAAGCAGAGATGGTAGATGATAGCAGACACCCCATTTTCTTTTGTAGACCTTCCATAGTCCTCATTGCAGGAAATGGCTGGGTTGATGGTTACTCACCTCTTTTCCCAGTATCTTCCCATGAATGGTCACATGTCTTTTCCCTAAGTATATGCTGACTTATTCCCACAGACCAGCATTTTGTAATAAAGAAAATCTAATACCTCTGGAATACCCTAAGGACACACAGTTCATCATTGTTCTGAACTAAGGACCGGATTTGGTGAAGAGTTTATGGTGTGAACAGGAATGGGATATTAGGAACCCTTGTCTTCATGTGACCCACATTTCAAGCCTTGTCTCTTTATTTTCCCTTTTAGGGCACCAGAGTTATGACTAACTTGACTGTTCTACACAGGGACCCCAAAGAGTGGGTTAGTCCAGACACCTTCAATCCAGACCATGTTTTGGAGAATGGACAGTTTAAGAAGAGAGAATCTTTTCTACCATTCTCAATAGGTGAGTAATAATGAGAAGGAAACAAGTCAGAATCCTACTTCATCCCTTCCCTTGTCTTCTGCCTAGAGACTCTGCTATAATTTGTGTATCTCCTAATGGCCCCACTTTGTGCAGATCCAAGGTGGTGTTTGCAGCCAAGTGTTCTCTGGACCTAGCACTGCCTCTTGCCTCCTCTATCTCTCCTACTCTTCTTTGCCTTTGGTGGGAATTTGGCTTCCCTTGTTTTGTTTTCCATAACAATAGACAGAGTGACTCAAGTCTCTGCCTCCTTGCCATAGTAAAATCTGAATACATGCCTTCTTTTCAAAGTCTTTAAATATCCAAATTAATTTTAAGTGATTTGTGCTCAAAGGTAAATGTCTTACATTTTATGGGGAGGAGTGGTGATGCTGCATGTGAAACTGGCTACCGACTCACTATGATGAAAATATCAAACAACAGTTGTAACTGTGGTTTGCATAACTTGATTGGGTTTTGTCCAATACAATAATTCCTTGAACAAGTAATGCATTTGACTTTTATGATTTTAATTACACCTTTAAAAATATAATTAGACATATTTATTTTCTGCAACTTGATATTCATAATTAGGGATGTAGTGATGACTCTTATGTTTTTTCTCCAGCCAATTACAAATAAATACTTGTAGTCTTACAATTGTTGAGCTTGTATAAAACACCCTAATGTTTTGTGGTTATTGGCCTCCATATATTGTACATCTTTTTTCAAATAGTTTTCCAGTTCCTTAGTTCCATAAATAAGTACTAAGCATATATTACATATAAAACACACACACAATTGAGCAGGGATAGGTGATGAGGCAGAGCTTCCGCTTGGAGCATGTGTCCTGCTGCAACCTTTCAACATGGAATCAGTGAGAACCTCTGAAACAAAGATATAACCAAATGTATGGCATCTGGAGCTCAATACCTATGAGATTTTCTCACGCTGAAGCTGGTGTTTCCTAACACTGCCTTCAGAATGTGACTGAATGCTGCACAGAAGCCACACTGGTGAACTCGGAGCTACCATGCAAGTGCCTGCCTGGTACTGCTTCTGCTCTCTTTGCCTTTCCCTTTGCTTCTGAGGTACCTTTGTTGACCTTTCACAGTTGACAGTAATAGGAAAGCTGGCAGAATCTAGGACATCTGTCCAGTCTTCCTGTTCACAAAACAAGTAAAAAGATTTGAATTAGAGTTCAAAATCTCAGCTATGTATTTCATTTATTCTAATTATGCTCAGTTATTGAATCAGATCCTGAAAGTCTCAAATGTGATTCTTTTTACATTCCACCTAAGTGATCAATGTTTTGTTTCCTAGGACTGCAGGGAAAGGAAGATAGTATATCCCCATGACTTTCACAGGATCCTCGAGGCCAAGAGAAGCCTGCAAACATGCAATCTCTTCAGAATGCAAAAATCTTTTTCCTGTAGAAGATTCATATCTCATCTTTTAAAAAATGTTCTTCTATCTATACCAGCTAAAAAATAAAAACAGCAACACAGAGAGACTCACTGATACTTTGCTCCTGACAGTTGTATTTCTCCCTCTTCATTAGAGGGTCTATCAGCAGAAAAATTATGTTGGACAATCACCAAGGTAATGTAGTTGTTAGCAATCCAAAAGAAAAGGAATATTAGTATCTACTTAATCTAATAAACTGCATGCATTCAGGTTATACAGCCTAATTGAACCCTGAAATATCACTGAAGCTTCCCAGTTGAGTGACTAAATTCTACAGGTAAAGACCAGATATGAGCCTTGAAATGATGTGTGCTTTACTGATACTATGAGAGACACTAGTGAAGGCTGCAGTTTGTGCTTTTCCCAGGGTAGAGGCAGGTTCTGCTAAAATATAGCTGTTACCTTACCAGTTATTCCAGAATTCCAGCCTTCCTTGGTCACTGAAATCACGTTAGTTACTTTCTATTGCTGTGATAAAAATTATGACCAAAAAGTAACTTACATTTTGAGAAAAAAATACACACACACACACATTCAGATACAGATATATATATATATATATATATATATATATATATATATATATA